AGGAATAAAGAAAAAGCAGCTTGCAATGCTTGAAATAATCAACAACTGCAAGGCAACACTGCGAATTTTTCCCTAGTAAAACTCAGACCTCTGAAAGGAAAATGAAGTCTGGAAGTTGGATAAAGTGAAAAGACTGCAGAGTCCTTGAGTCATTTGAAATTGACTCTGTACTAGTAATTAAAATTGTAGTGTTAAAATATATATCATGACCCATCACTATTCCTCAGTGAAGAAATCCTTTGTTTAGTATTTCCAGAGACTGTAAAGAATCTAACCACCGGCTCATCTACCATCACCAACTCGAGTCCACTACATAACACGACTTTGATCTCTCAGAAGAGAAGGTGAAACAGAAGAAACTTTCTGAAACAGTAGGCAGAAAACATGTATCACTCTACTTTGGCAATATTCTGAGCATCTCTTCTCACTAATTACTGTGAACATAGCGTATGAGTCTACAGTGACGCCAAGAGAAAAAAGAAAAGGCCTAGCTGTTGAACCTGGTAATCAGTGCCAGTTTGATCTCCTGGCTTTGTAATTTAGCTCAATTCTGTGAAAATTAACTGAGTTAAAGCAAATGTGTACCAACAATTAAGCAATAAAATGAGACACTTATTTTCCTTAAGTATTTAAGGCAATTCAAATTTCAAAATTTTGATATTTTTTAAAGATACAAAATGAAACAAAATGCGTAACTTTGCCTAATTTTCAATCTAAAACAGAATTCAAAGTATTTTAATAATAATAACTGGCTACTTGCTTCCAAAAGCCCATAGAGATCTTAAAGAGAATTCAGATCTCATTCAATACAAGCTTCTTATATACAAAGAGGAAAACAGCATTAATAGGAATTTTCAGTGGGTTGAATGTTAAAATAGTATTGGCAAGGTTGGGAGTCTAACCCAGGTCTCTTGACTCCCAGGACAGTGCATTTCTCTGCTTACTTTGAAATCTGCACCAAAAGACACTTTTAAATTCCAAATTCTTTACCATTCCCAGAGAAAGGACATTTTGGGCTTAGAGACTTTAGTTAAAGGGGTGTCATTTCAGGGCAAGTGAATAGAATCCACACATAAAGACTCTGTGTCTCACAAATTAACCATAGTTTGAAAATGTTATTTTAAATATTAATTGCTAATTGTTGAAAATCTTTCACTTTAATTAAACAAAACCTCCAAATTGGAGAGTGCTAGAAAGATTTAAAAGAAATATAAGAAAGGAAAATGTGCATAACGCCTTAAAACTTGCCATGTGTACATGTGTTACGTACATGAACACACATGTATAAAATCCTATTTTGAAGGGCAAGAAGCAGGTGAAGAGGTTGCCACTGCAACATATGAAGAAGAGATGGAGAACAATTTTTTTACATTTCCCTGTCTTATGTTTCAAAGCTATGAAATTCACTTTTCTTCAGCTTACCTGCCTTCACATAGTCCCTAACAGATTAATTTACTGTCAAACACTAAGTCACAGACACAGGTAGACACTTGGGACAAAAAGATCTGATTCACATAAGAAAGGGAGACTGTTACAACAAAAAAAGCATGTGGCTAAAGATATTTCTTTAATCTTATCTTTAGTTGGTTCGATATCAAATAGTGCACAATAATAAACCACACTATTGCCAACAGAAAATGACCAAGCCTGGCCTCTACTTTTATCTTAGAAGGGATAAAGCAAAGACCTATGATAAAGCAAAGACCTGGAACACATTTCAAACTCTAGGGGAGAGTTTCTCAATTTCACACTAGTACCAGACAGGTAGCCAAATTAGATGACTTAGACACACATACTTGCACACACACATATAAATCTTGAGGATCAAGTCTGAAAGATATGAAAATAATAAATGCTACTTTTTAAAACCATTTAGTGTGTTCTGTTCTAAGACAGGACTTCATATAATCTTCATAACAACCTTCTTAAAGTTGGTAGGATTCTAATTCTCCCTTATATAATATATGAAGAAAAGAATTTCTAGAGATATTAAATAATTTGTCCAACATCATGTAACCAGAAAGAGACAGACCAAGAAACAGACAGAACCTAAGTCTGTTTGACTCTAAGCCTATAATTCTTTTTTTCCTATTTTGAAGGCTCTGCTTTCCATTATCATCCACAAACATGTCAACTGTTAAACCTAAGGAAACTGAGTTTCCCACAAAACTCCCTATTTTTCCAGGTATGCCAATTTAGAAAAACTTTATTCTATCAACAGATGTTAAGACCTTGTTAGGAAACAAATGAATCTGTATAAGCCTGTCTCTCTGAAAAGTAAAGGAAAAAAGGGGACTGTGAACCAGATTTACTGGGTAATTTCATCAAACTAGGCAAAATGGTAGCAAAAGAGACCACAAAGGAAAGCAAGATAATATTTCGTAACTCTTTTCCCTGGAACTCATTAACTCTGACTTCTAAAGCAAACCAATAAAATGGCATACAGAAGGGCACTGTGGGCCCAATAACTAAGAGCACAATGAGGTCATCCTTTCTTAAATGTGAACTATGCATTTGTAAACAGTGCTATCTTTCACAAAACTCAAGTGCTCTGGGCCAACTGCTTGAGTCAAATCACAACTTGAAACCATAAGAATGTGGAATGGAAAACTAAGCTCTCCCTCTTATGTGCCAGTTATTAACGACTGCTTGTCTCTCAGCTCAAAATTTACCTTGTTTGCCTGCACAGTAAAAGTGGATCTGTGCTCTTTAAATATTTTTCCATTTCAGCGGGCACAATTGTAAATTTTGCCAGTAGAGGGCACTGTTTAGACATTGCAGAAGGACAGGATTTTGCTTCCTGGTCCTTCTTGAAGTACAGGTAGCTTCTCTAGAATCTCGCTTCTCCAAGTGCCCAGCTCTCTAGAATGCATAGCTTCTTCAGTGCCAGGCTTCTGCTACACTGCACAGTAGCCAGCAGTATGTGGTGGCCAATAGCTCCCCCTGGCACCCTCTCAAGCAGTTTTGCAGCAAAGTGCCTTGTCTAAGAAACCTATGTGAGAACTTTCTTTCTATCAGCATCCTACAGGGAAGAATTCTGGCAAGTTCCAGAAGGTGGATTTCTAATAAGTTCCACTGCCCTGGCACCACAGCAATTTCTCTCTCTACCACTCAGGGAGCCATATCATGCCCTATCCAACATGGTCTAGATCTCAGCCCAAGATTGAGGGAGCAGTCTCTTACCTAACACTACTATGAACAAAGGAGGCACAAGGTTTGATAGGCGTTTTTTGGATTTTGAAGGCACAATGCACTACATTAGAGTGTGCTAAACCTCAACCTACTATAAAGTTACCTGGAGGTTTCCAAATTTGACTGAGGGATCGAACAAAAGAAGGCTCTGCAGCAGGTTTAATTTGTAATACAAGCTGCTCTACCACATGGGATGTATGACCCAGCATATCCAAGGTTACCGAAGTGTCTGTGACAGAGATGCTGTAAGGAGCCTTTTAGCCACTGTGTATTGCAGCAGCTCTTTGCTAAAGGAGACTAGGGCTAGAGCGACCAGCTTTCCCCAACACTCCATAGAGTAAATTTCCAGTAAGTTCCAGAGGAAGAATTGCTAGCATGTTCCACTGGTATGATTCTACAGTGACTTCTCTATCATAAGGTGAGCCTTATTAGCTGTGCACACTGAGCCCTGGAGAAGGCTCTTCCATAGGTATTTAATCTCAGCCCCAGAAGAAACAGATGCTCCTTATATTTGCAACTGTTATATTGTTTAGAGTTCTCTTTTTTATTAGCCACTCCCTCATCAATCCAATTCAATAATCCTTTCTATTAAACTTTCCCTACTCAAGTAGTTTCTCTCTTCTGATTGGATTCTGACTAACATACCTTATTAATAGCTTAGGTGGTTCTGTTCAGTGCCATGAAAACCAACAAGAACTCTTTTTAAATAATTAAGAGTTCATTTTGACATGTTTTAGTTTTAAAACTCAAAACTAGGAATAATTAGACAAATTTTAAGCACAGTACTCAGTCCAAATTAGTTTATATATTCCTTAATAGGACAATTTCAGTTATGGTTTTGGCAAGCTGTACATTTCTTCTCCACTTTATAGTCTAAACTGTCACTAATCAGCACCTAACTTATAATCACCAGCTTTTAGTATTATTTTTAATAAATAATTCCTTATATCTCTTATTATTCAAGCTCTGGAAACCCTCAAAATGAAAGCCAAAATTGAAAATAATGTTATTCAATTAATTTTCATTATCAAAAACAAAAGTTCTTATGCATAAATACTGACAATCTCAAACAGCATCAGTCAAATGGCTTCACTATCTCCATATTCCAGAAAGGCCTTCATAACTCTAGCCCACTCTCAATCACAAAGTAGACCAAACAAGCATGTGATGGTGGGTTGGTACAAGTTAAACAGTATCTTGAGAAATGGCTTAAAATGCTGGGGACAAACCCATAATGACATTTTCTTAAAACAGTGTTTCAATATCTGCTGTACCTATTAATTGGAAATAATGCTAAAGAGTACACTAGTCTTCAACAATTCACCAAAATTTTAAGCTCAACAAATTCCAATAACCAACCTATTTATGAAATAAAAAACCAAACCAAAAAAAAAAACGCCCATTAAAATTACTCAAGAGGGAAAAGACACTTTCTAAAAAAGTAGAAAATAACCAACACTACACCAAACTGGGAGAAGAAAGGAGACTAGCAGATTACACATTAAAAAGCAAACAAATGCTTTGTGGGGTCTTTAATGGACTTTAGAATTGCATCCTTATTTCTAAAACAACAAAAAGTAAAACTAAGTATCCCTGACAGTTCATTTCAAATTCCTCCATAAATAAAATGTACAAAATTGTTAGCAGCCACCATTATGGGTGTTATGTCTAAAAAATGCAAAAGACAAAACAGATATTACTCTTCAGGTAATGTTATATGTTAGTGCTTAAAAGTTAATGCTTTAGAAAAACAGAAAAGCTGCTTTTACATGGAAATTCCTTTAAAAGAAAATAAACGTTTTTCTTACTTGAGAGAGTCCAGGGGACGATGCATGTCCCGGGGGCGTTGCCGCAAGATTTGGATGCCCCTTGTTTATTTCATGTGCTGAATAAGGGGAAGGGGTCGGAGGTCCTGGCTGTCTTGCTACTTGTGTTACCTGTAAGGAAATCAATTATTTAGTAAAATATTATAGTAGTAACTTCACTTTAATAACTTTAGATGAACTAATTTTTAAAAATTGGGTTCTCTACCTCACAATTTATACTAAAATAAGGGCTAGAGTGACTAAAGGCTGATTTCCAAAAATGAAGCAAAGAGACTGTTAGAAAAAAATTAGAAAAAAATAAACATGAATACTATAATCATTTTGTTAAGATTCTTGAAGCATAATCTAAAACCAAAAATGTTCAAGGAATAAAATACACAACATGAAAGAAGCCAGACTTGAAACTGTATACTGTAGGAAGTCATTTATATGACATTTTATAAAAGGAACAAAAAAGGGTTAAATGATTACAAGGGGAAGAGGCTGATTACAAAAGGGATGCAAGGAGATTTTGGAGCGTGACATAACTATTCTGTACCTTGACTGTGGTGAGGATTACATGTCTCTGTGTGTTTGTCAAAACTCACAGAACTGTACACAAAAACATATGAATTTCACTTACATAAATTATACCTCAATAAATCTGAACCAAAAAAGGGGTATCTTACTTATGTGACATATATGTACATGTACATATAAACATATGTGTGCATGTACATATTTCTACATGCATGCCTACATGTGTGTGCATATGTATTTATAATAGACATGTGCATATACACATACTCAACAGTGTATGTGTAATATATTTAAAAGATTTTTTAAGGAGATACACAAAGATCTTTACAGAAAGCATTACAGGTGTTTCTCTTTTTTTCTCATTTTTATTTTCTAACACAGTCAATAGTCATGAAGTTGTACAATAGAAAAATAGCTAGCATATGTTTCTATGCAAACAAAAATTACATGTTCCCACTTTTTGCTGGCAATAAACTGCCCATCAGCCTGTAATGGACATGAACCCATTTCACTTGGACATCAATCCTAGCCCGCTCCTCTCTATCATAGTCTAACCCAGACCAGCACTGACAGTTTGACAAACTTCCACAAATGGGCGCAACTCAGCAGTCATCTAATATGAAAGAATCCATTCTCCTTAAAGTGAGATTCTTAAAAAGGAACCTAAAAAAGGATTCTTGGAGGAGCTATGAACCCTGTTGCAGTCTAATTGAAACTACAGACTCTTCCTAGAATCACATTTTTAAGTGCATAAAATACATCAGACTATGACAAAAACCAATTATACTGAAATACAGGAATTAAAATTTGTGATACAGTAATATATGTGTTTATTAGCATGTTAAAAAGGACTAATGGCAGTTGTTGCCAACATTCATAAATTAAAGAAATGATAATATTCAATCACATATTTTCCCCATCTAATTTATTAGATCCCCTGAATTGTATCACAGAATTAGAAAGTCTGCCCTGGCAGAAAGGAAAGTGATCTCCATTAAATGATATTTGATTTTCCTTGAATTCACTCAGTCAGTCAGAAACTGTGAACAGAGTCTACTCCCTTGGTAACCTAACTTAAAACAGTTATAAACACCTATAGGCTCAGCGACTTGATCCCAATGCAGAAATAAAATGGACTCATGGAGAACTAACTATAATCAAAGTTGAGAGGCTAAAAGAGACATGACTGATGATAGGATGTGACCAGATTAAGACTTGAATTAATTGTATGAAATTTCTTCCTTGCTTTTTAAGTAGCTTTATGATTTTCTTCAAAAACTGTTTCCACTTTTTAGTGAAAATTACCTTTGTAAGAGCATGAGGTTAACCACAAAATGTGACAGCATTTATAAATCTTATTGAGGAAATTTTTAAAAGGATAAAAATTGGATTACTATTTAAACATTCACTTTAGAAAACTAGTAACTTAAATGTAGAGTTCCTGAAAACAAATTTCTCCCCAATAAGGCTTTATAAATTTATATTCTAATTTCACATGCTTTAGAAAAAATTATTTTGACATCCAACTAAGGTAAAATATCAAAATGTATATATACTTTAACATTAAAAAAGAAATCTGCACAATGAAATAAAATGAGAACAAAGGAGTTAGCTATATAAAATCCATGTTAGGTCAATTCTCCCAATTTATCCTGTTAAAACAAAGACTAAACTTACCCAGGGCAATAAACGATAGTATGGATAAATGTAAAAAAAAGTTATTACTGACTAAGAATATTAAAACACATAGGAACTCAAGATGGCAGCATGAGTAGGGCAGTGGAAATCTCCTCCCAAACCCATATGTATTTTTGAAAATACAACAAATACAACTAGGCCTAACAGAGAGACAAGAAGATACAGTACAACAGCCAGGCTACATCTACATCTGCTAGAACTCAGCATCTCAGGAAAAGGATAAGATACAAAGCCATGACCCAGCAGGACCCGAGCACTCCACCCATCCTAGCTCACCAGTGAGAGGAAAAGAATCAGAGTGGGAAGGGAGTGGAAGCAGAGGATGGCTAAATTACCAGCCCTAGTGATCTGCACCAGAAGCACAGACACACAATGTATGGTGTACTGGATATTAGAGAAAAGGAAAGGTAAAATTCAAGATGGAGACTGCAAGCGGGTCCCCACAGCTGGCTTCCCTGGGACAAAAGAAAAGTGGGTGCTTTTTAAAAGTCCTAAAGGGACAAGGGCTTAACAGCTGGACAAAGTCATCCCAGCACACTCAGACCAGAAGGCTGGGAATCTTAACGAGCTTCAGGTGACCTACCCTCTGGGGGGTAATGCAGCCCCAAAGCCCATCACGATGATAAGCAGCCTGCCATTCATTCCCCCGGGCTGGCACTGCTAGCAAACTGGCTGACCCGACACAGCTGTGAGGCAGCCGGAAAACAGCCCTGTCGACAGCAAGCACACAGAGTCTTCTCACACCACACAGCTAACCAGGACAGACCCAGAGGCTGCCACTGGCATGCAGCTGCCTGGCACAGACAGAGGAAGCCGGAGCACGTTCCAGAAGGCACGAAGGAGCATCATTCTCACAGGAGAACACACCTGGCATATCTGCGACCCCCTGCAGTGCCCTAGGCTATCTCGAGGGCTGTCCCGCCCACGGCAGCTCAGGAGATTATTCCAGGAACTGCTTCTGCTGTGTGGGTAAATGGAACAGGCAGCAGAAGCTGGAGCAACATTCAGAAGGCACGAAGGGGAGCCATTCTTGCAGGAGAACACACCCAGCACATCTGCGAGCCCCTGCAGGTGCCTAGGCTATCCCAAGGGCCGCCCTGCCCATGGCAGCTCAGGGATTGAACCAGAGGCTACCCCATGCACCCAGTTGACTGACACAGGCAGACAGAGCCAGAGCAAGGTCCAGATGGAACGAAGGGGCACCGTTCTCAAAGGAGAACACACCCAGCGCATCTGGGACCCCCAGCAGTGCTCTACGCTATCCCGAGGGCCACCCCACCATGGCAGCTCCGGAGATTATCCCAGACAGTGCTCCCTGTCTATGGGTAACCAACACAGGCAGCGGAGAAGGGTAAACCGACCAGCAAGTCGCAAGGGACTTTGTTCTCCCAGCTGACACATGCGCCACCTGCCTGCAACCAGTTCTATCACCACGAAAAGGCAAAAGAGCCTGGTCCAGTCAAAAATCACTCAAGACAACCCCAGAGAGAGGCCAGGTGAATTCCTGAGAAAGAATTTGAAATAAAGGTCATAACCATGCTGAAAGACCTGCAGAGAAATATGCAAGAGCTTAGGGACGAAGTCTAGAGGGAGATAAAAGAAATGAAACAATCAATAGAAGGTCTTAAGAGCAGAGTGGATGAGGGGCAAGAGACTGTTAATGGAACAGATATTAGAGAAGAGGAATATAGAGAAGCTGAGGCAAAGAGAGATTAAAGGATCTGTACAGATGAAAGAATATTAATAGAATTGTGTGATCAATCCAAACAAAACAATATTTGCATTAGAGGGGTACCAGAAGAAGAAAGAGAAAAAGGGATAGAAAGTGTCTTTCAAGAAATAACTGCTGAAAACTTCCCCAAGCTGGGGAAGGAAATAGTCTCATAGACCATGGAAGCCCACAGATCTACCAACACAAGGGACACAAGGAAGAAAACACCAAGACATATAAGAATTAAAATGGCAAAGATCAACGACAAGGACAGAGTAATAAAGGAAGCCAGAGAGAGAAAAAAGATCACCTATAAAGGAAAACCCATCAGGCTATCACCAGACATCTCAACAGAAACCTTACAGGCCAGAAGAGAATGGCATGATATATTTAAGGCAATGAAACAGAAGGGCCTTGAACCAAGAATACTGTATCCAGCACAATTATCATTTAACTTTGAAGAAGGGATTAAACAATTTCCAGATAAGCAAAAATTGAGGGAATTTACCTCGCACAAACCTCCTCTACAAGATATTTTAAAGGGACTGCTCTAAATGAAAGCATTCCTAAGGCTAAATAGATGTCACCACAGACAATAAAATCACAGCAAAGAAAGCAGACCACCAAATACTTACTAAATGCAAAATAAAATCAACTATACACAAAAGTGGTCAAAGGAAACACAAAAGAGTACAGAATAAAACACCAAATATAGAGAGAATGTAAGGGGAAGAATAACAAGGGAGAGAAATAAAGAA